AGGCACAAAGAATCTACTCTGACTCTGGAGCTAAGGATAGGGAGGGAATCAAGCACATTTCATTTCTATGGACAACATTGGAGAAATAGGATATCTCTACTCTGAAAGGAAGTAGATAATTTACATCAGGGATGGGTGCTACCATGGGAGCCTGAGCACATTTGCCAGAACTCAACGAGCCTAGACTTTCAGGCCTAGGATTAATGTATCAGAGAAGAGGCAGCACAATGGTGAAATGTGCTCTCACTAGCTATTTTCTGGGCTATTGACTCAGTCTTTTTATCCTGAAAATATTTATCCTCTATTCATTCAGTTCCTGTTGATCCCTATGTAGGGAGTAAAACAATAAACAGAAAGGACAATCCTTGCAGGAAGCCTTCCTTGACAAGGCAAAACCCAACTCAGCTAATGTACCCTTTCCCCATAAGCTAGCTATGTAGGAATTTACACCTTTGTGTACATAGATACAGATGCATATGTAGCAGGGTTTTGGCATCATCTTCAGTGTATGCTACAGGTGGTGGTTACCTCTCAACCTGCTACCATATTAATTCCCATCATCTCAAGTTCTAAAATAAACCAAAGTTGTGTTTGGATATTTACGTATTATTATTGCAATATTTTTCTCTTTAATTGATAAGTTAACTCAGAGCTCCCACTCCAGTTTATTAAATATTTACTCCTTTCCCCATAAGCAATTGCTCATCTCTCTTTCTTTGTGATTTTTTAAAATAACAGTAACTGACGTTTGTAGAGTCCTTTCAATCTTGCTTCAGGTGTGCTGAGGCCTGGTCTTTGCCTGTGCACTCACGCTGAACTGCACTCCTCTCCCAGCCTGGCCCAACAGACCTTTCCAATCAACCATCCAGCTTGTCTTGGGCTGGAAATTTATTTCACTACGTCTTTTTGTGGATTCTGCTGCTCTAGAATTTGTTTAGAGCCATTTTTTACAAGTATTTGGAAGGGTTTGGGGGAGAGCTCAAGCAAGTCACTGCTTTTATTCCACCATCTTGGCTCTGATGAGTCCTTTAAATCTTGACGTGAGCTCTGCATACATCATCTCATTATAACCTCATAATAACATGGTGAGACTATGTGATTATTCTCATTTTACAGATGAAGAAAATGTGTATATATACACATACATACACACATATGTATATACATATATGCGTATAGGTATATCTATTTATCTATTCTATCTATCTATATCTATCTATCTATCTATCTATCTATCTACCTACCTACCTCTATATCTCAAAACCCCTAATCTCCAAGACTTAAAACATCAAAGTTCTTACTATGTGATTTATTAGCAATGCAATAAACACTAACACAAAGAGGCAGTTAGAAGGTGATTGGATAGAGTAACTAGGATATCCCTAGATAGGGAAGATTCTAGGAAGGATTAATGACTGAGCCAGAGGCAAGGAGCTCTCAGTAGATAGAGGCTTTGATATGGATCAGGAACTGATGTACTAGGTAGATAGAGAAATGGGGTATGTGAGTGTAGATGGAATAGCTGGAGAGGCCCTGCCTATGGGGTGAACTGAGGGAAGGCACAGGGTTGATTGTATTGGGTGGCAACAGACTGGGACTATGCTAGTTTTCAGCCAAACATCTGGGCACTGAGGGGGAGCAGTATGTGTGACCCAGGCAGAACTAAATTGTGGGATGAGTGGGGGAAATCCCTAACCCAAACTGACTGGAGGAACCAAAATGGCTTTATTTGGGATTTTGCAAGGTGAGGATTTGGTTATGAATGTATTAAAGGCAAAAATAACTGGGATGGGGCACACCAACTACTTGTGATTAACAACAACAGTAACAGCAGAAGACAAAATAAAAATGCAAAGAAAAAATAACACCACCACCAAAAGCAAAGCAGAGAGAGCAGATTGTGAAGAGTCTCAGAGAATCACTGGAATTTAGTTTTGAAGTAACTTCAGTGGCCCCCCAGTGCAACCTATCCAGGACCTGAAGGGAATCCTCTCTATAACATATTCATCAAGTGAGATTTGTTTCCACTCAAGGACTTTGAATGAGGGGAAACCCACCACCTCTGGAGGTAGCCTAGTACAATTTAGGGCTAGATAAGGAGTTATTTCTTGACATCAAATCTAACTTTTCCCCTTTTCAATTTCAATTCATTGCTTTTGGCTTGTCCTCTGTGACAAACAGAATAAGACTCATCTCTCTTACTCATGATTGTCCTTCAAACACACACATGGGCGTGTGTGTGTGTATATATATATATAGGTATATACATACACACACACACACACATACACTCAAATAAACACACACACATAAAACAACCACATAAAGAGCTACCAAATCTTATAGAAGTGATAAGAGGACATCGTGCAAGAAAATTATTATTTTGAATGTTTTTTAATGTATGTATTTTTTCTTTAAAAATACATATATACATACGTATGTATGTATATGAGCACAGTTCATGTCAGTGGGGTTTTGTTGGTTTTAGCATTTGCTGTGGTTATTAAGTTTGTGATACATATTTGTTTACAAAAAGAAGCCATCGATAGGGCAGCTTTGTTCAGGATTTGCCCAGGGAGATGAGGAGATGGCCAGTCTGACAGGTAAGGACAGCAGGAGTGGGGAACTGATAGGAGAGGTTTGGAAAGTGGAAGCTAAAAAAAAAGGCAATAATTACTCTTTCCCATGGAATAGATTCCTCTGTTCTCATGGCTTTGAAAAGGAGGCACCCTCATCTCTTCTGTCATGCCTGGAAGCCCAAGTGCTGAAGCACCTGGCAGAAGGGAATGACAACCTGAGCATCTATCATTCCTTCCAAGGCCCAACAGACATATTTTTCATGTCCAAGAAAGAAAAGCTTCACAAAAGGCTCTGCCTTCAAATTAACTTTTTTTTTAAAGGAGAAATTAAGTTGGGAGAGGGGGTTGAAAAACCCAGGACATAGCAAAACTATTCCACAGAACAGGGAAGAGATGAACTCACCTGGGATGAAGTAGCCAGAATGAGGAAGATGACCATTTGGCCACTTCTTGTTTTAACTAATTATTCTTGCTAACTATATGTCAAGCTCAGCTGTCTCTACTTGCTGCAGAAATGTAAATACTGTCAGCACACTTTAAATATCCAGACCCTGGGGCAAAGTCCAGATCATCCTGTCCTGGTTATGGCTCTGCAACGGTGAAGGATCTTGATATCTGTGTCCAAGAGAAATGCTGGTTGCAGGTCCCAATCTAATCCAATAAATATTTATTAAGTACCTGCTACATACAAAGCACCTCACTAAGTTCTAGGGATTTGTTCTGTTGTTTTAGTCTTATCCAACCCTTCATGACCCCATTTGGGGTTTTCTTGCCAAAGATACTGGAGTGGTTTGCCATTTACATTTTACAGATGAAGAAACTGAGGCAGAGTTAAGTGACTTGCCCAGGGTCACACAGCTAGTAAGTGTCTAAAGCCACATTTGAAATCAGGAAGATGAGTCTTTCTGATTCCAAGCCCAGTGCTTTAGCCACTGTGCAACCTAGCTGCCTCTAGGCATACAAAGACTACAAAAAACAATTCCTCCTCTCAAGGAGTTATGTTGTCCTAAGGGTATAAAACTTGAGGGGAAAAAAAAAGAACATACACGATAACCTGAGGAAGGTGAAAACACTAACAAGGAAGTGATCAGGAAAGGCATCGTGTAGAAAATAATAGTAACTAATATTTATTTTGGACTTTAAGGTTTTCAAAGCAACTGACATTTTATTTCATTTGATCCTTGTAAAGTAGATGCTATGATTATTCCTGTCTTACAGATGAGGAAACTGAGGCTGAGAGAAGTCAAATGACTTGCCCAGGGTTCCACTGTAAGGTAAATTTTCAAGGTGGGATTTGAACCCAGGCTTGTTTGACTCAATCCAGCCCTTAATTTACATGAACTGAGCTTTCAAGGAAGCTAACAATTTTAACGGTTGGAAGTAAGAGGGAGTGTATTCCAGACATGGAAGATACCTGAGCAAAAATACACAGATGAGAGGAGTGCTACATTCCAGGAGCATACTGGGATTGCCAGGTGCCCTGACTTTTGTCCTGCCACTGAGCTTTGATGACTCAGAAAGAGAGAGTGAAGCTGATAACTTTGTGCAACTCTGCCTCACTTAAATCTAATTCATGAACAAGTCAAGACATCACCAGTGATGTCATTGGTCCTCTTCGAAAATGAAGATGAACAACAACTTTGTAAGGTGTTCCAGAAACTGAGAGTAGGACGCTTTTTGCTGGAAAATAGAGTGCTTAGAAGGGAATAATGTCCAGGAAGCCTAAGAAGGTGGACTAGAAGCCATACAATGAGGGACTTTAAATGCCAAGCTGAGGAGTTTCTGTTTTACCCTGAAGATAAAGAAGATAGGGGATGTCTACCTTGCCTTTCCCACTCCCACCTGCCTTCTACCTAGCTAGCTTTTACCCATCCTTGAGGTCCAGCTCAAGTGCCATCTTTCCTGTGAAGTTTTCCCTAATCTCCTCATCTGAGTACTGGAAGCATTTACTGTCTCTTCCATTTATCTGGCATTTAACACATATGGTCTCTGATTTCTCTTGTAATATTTAGCATTATTTATCAGTGCTGTCCACTGTGCCACACTGTCTTCTCTTTTCCAAAATTTCATTGCACTCAGTCGGACATCTGGGGCTTCAGGGGACAACCCCCCAAATTTTTTGGTGAGGGGAGAGATATGAAGACAAGGTCATAACATGTCACCTGCTGAAACTAAAGCTATTAGGGACCAATATAAAAAGAATGAGATATGATGAAATATGCTGTCCATGTCCAGAGAAAGAACTGATGGAGTCTGACTGCAGATCAAAGCATGCTATTTTCACTTTATTTTTTTTTCATGTTTTTTTCCTCTCTGGTCTGTTACTTCTTTTACAACATGACTAATATGGAAATACATTTTACATGATTGCACAAATATTACCTATATCAAATTGCTTACTGGGGGGGGGAGAAAATTTGTAACTCAAATTTTTTTTAAAATGTTAAAATTTGTCTTTACATGTAATTGGAAAAAAATAAAAAACTATTTAAAAAAGAGTGAGATAAGCCACCTGTGGTAACCTTTGTAGGAATTAAACCTCCCACCAACAGGGTTTAAATGTGTTTCATAAAAGACCAGGCTATCTGTCAAGTCCCTGTTGAGGAGACCAGTGTGGGAATTTGAAATGATTTTGGAGTCAGAAGCCTTGAGTTGGAATCATGACCCTGGCACTTACCAACCTTACTACTTGAGGGACCCACCTTTTTCTAAATCTTATGTGGAATAGTAGACAGAGTGCTCAACTTGGGGGTCGGGAAAACCTGGGTTTGCATTCTGCCTCATTAACTTATTAGCTGTGTGACCCATGGCATCTCTCTGCACCTCAGTTTCCTCATCTGTAAGATGAGAATGCTGGTCTTGATGGTGTCCAGAGTTTCTTTCAGCTCTAAATCTATTTTCCTATGTAGTAGTGGCCTGGGTCAACAGGGATAAAACACGTTTTGTACTATGTATTTACTTCATGTAGTGAATAGTTACACAGGATTTGGAGTCAGCTCTGGCTATTTGGGACCCTCACCAAGTCACTTTACCTTCATGAGATTCGATTTCCCATCTGTAAGATGGGTATAATAGTACTTGTTCTATGTACCTCACAGTGTTGGTATTAGGCTCAAATAATAAAACCACATATGTAGAGTATTTGTGAATGTTAAAACACTCTGTGAGGTTCATCTCTTCCAAATTTTTAGAAGTTCAGCAGTGGAGTCCTTCTGCCGGGTGAGGGGTCCATAAATGTTTGAGTGATGAGCTAGACAGATCTTTTCCCAGGAGACCAGGTGACTAGGCAGTGTTTCCCAGGGCTCAGAATGGTGCTGCTCCCCTTCCATCCCCCAAGGCAGAGTTAAAAAAAAAAGGCAGAAGCTGTGTTCTAAGGGGGTGAGGATCAAAGACTCCAAGGAGTGGAATTCCTCACCCAGCTGACCATCCCCATCCTTCCTCTGCCCTCCCTCACCCCATAACAGCTCACCACCCACTTTCCCAGGAGTTGTTTCAGTTTTTATTGGTGAAGCCAATGGGCTAAAGTGCCTCTCCTGTCAAGAAAAGCACTCACACACTCACACAAACACACACATCTGTCTCTGGTGGGCACTGCTGCTCCCTGGCATCCTTGGAGATCTCTCGGCATGGTTAGGGCTTGAATCTCTTTCCAACACCAGTGATTTTCAGCAGCAGGTTAGAGCCTCCCATCTCTGTGGATGTCAAAAGGTATAAACTTTACAGTCAGCCCCACTGTCCTCATAGTTTTCTAAGGAAAGGGGAATTGGAGAAAACTAGATATGCTCAGGCCCAAGGGGTTCCCAAGATGGGAGTCCATAGAGTCCAAAGAGCAGTGGGCCAGCTCAGGAAGCCCCAACCCTAGTCTCAGCTCTATCATTGTTTACTAGCTATTTGATCTTGGGCAAATGGCACACATAGCTTAGCCTCTCTGGGCCTCAGTTTCCTTACCTGTAAAATGGGGATAATGACACCCTCCACACACACGTACATTCACTGTCTTTCTCAAAGGTTGTTGTGAAGAGCCAGTGAGGTATGTGATGATACTTTGTAAACTGGAAAGTACTATATAAAGCCTAGAAGCAGTTAGATGGATAGAGTGCTGGACCTGGTATCAAGAAGACCTGAGTTCAAATACAGTTATTAGCTGTGTAACACATGGCAGGTCACTTAACCTCTGCCTCAGTTTCCTCACCTACCTCTCAGAATTGTAAAGATTAAATGAGGTAATAATTGTAAAGTGCTCAGCATAGTGTCTGGCACTCAATAAGCGTTATTTGAATATTAGCTATTATTATTATTATTATTATTATAGGGCAGCTGGGTGGCAAAGTGGATACAGTGTCAGGCCTAGAGTCAGGAAGACTTATTTTCTTGAATTCATACCTGGCCTCAGACACTTACTAGCTGTGTGATCTTGGGCAAGTCACTTCACCCTGTTTGCCTCAGTTTCTTCATCTGTAAAATGAGCTGGAGAAGGAAATGGCAAACTACTCTAGTATCTTTGCCAAGAAAATCCCCAAATGGGGTCATGAAGAGTTTGTTATGACTGAAAACAACTGAACACCAAAAGTATTATTGTATTTGCAAAGGCTTAGTACAGTACCATAACGGACGCTTAGTCTTCTCACCCCCTGTAAAGGTCAGGGATTATGATGACTGTGCTACTGAGCTGGTATTGATGCTGGTGCAGCTGGTACTTCAACTTAATGACACAGGTAATCCAGGATCTTTCAAATGCCCTCCTAGGTCTGGATGGGCTGGGCAGGATAACCTCAACAGGTTCCTATCAAATCTGGTATGTTATACAGTAGAAAGAGTATGGACATTGGACATTGGGGTCAGAGGAATTGAGGGCAAAACTGCCTTGGATATGTGGAAGCAGGGTAGTGCAGTGGAAAGAATTCTGCCAATGTGTCCTTGGGCAAATCACTTAAAACCTTCTTGGCTTTGGTTTCCTTGTCTGTAAAGGGATGGGGTTTAGACTAGTGGTCCTCTTAGGTTCCCTCCAGTTTTAGGTCTATGAGACCATGAGTACTCTATCCTGATGACTGAGGCAACGACGCGTCTCCTTTACCCCAGATAGAGGCGCTTCTTGGAAAGCTCCACCAATGGGAATCTGAGGTCATTCAACACTTGCACCTTGGTGATGGAGGCCAGTGGCTTCAGACGGTGCTCATACTGTGCCACCTTGTTCTCTTGAATGAAGACATGGAAATACTCTGAATCTGAAAAGATTTCAATCTGAAAGACAGGTAGTTCAGTGCAGGCCCCTACCAGCAAAAGTCTATCCCCTCCCTACCCCAACAATCTTATCTCTTATTGATAAGCTAGCACTGCTCACTCAGTGGGGGCTTTAAAAATGCTAGTTGAATGAATGCATGCATAAACAAATGCTACCTTTCCCCAACTAGACCATAGTATAATGGATAGATGACTATCCTTGGAATCTAGAAGACTTGGGTTCAAATCCTGCCTCTGATGAATACTGGCCTTTCAAATTGCAGAACAGCTGTCAATCTACACTAGTAGAGGGATTTTCTGGAGAGGAGGATTCAAGGAGAGGAATTCCCTATACCAATAAATCACAGATTCCCAACCAAAACAACAATGAAATGAGACTAGAAGATCCTTGAGACAAAGGATGTCTTTTACTTCTTCGTATCCCCAATGCATCAGGGGCCCCTAGGTGGTACAGTGGATAGAGCAGCAGGCTTGGGGTCAGGAAGATCTGAGTTCAAATCCTGCTGCAGACACTCTCTAGCTGTGTGACCTTGGGCAAGTCACTTAACTCCTGTTTGCTTCAGGGGGCACACTGGAGAAGAAAAAAGTAAGCCACTCCAGGATCTTTGCCAAGAAAATTCCATGGAGAAAAGTCCATGGGGTCATGTAGAACTGACGTGACTGAACAACAACAATAATAATCCCTAGTGCTTTAACGCAGTATTGTACATAATTATAGCGGGGGTTCCATAAATGTCGGTTGATGACAATGAATAAGATTAGAACCTCCTGGTTGGTCCTCTCCTCATAGGACAGGTACCCAGTCACACAGCTATTAAGTGTTTGATTTCACAAACAGGGAGACCAAGGCACCAGGAGGTCAAGGGACTGAACCCAGGGTGAAGGGCAAGACAGTAATCAACCATCAGAAGGTCGCCAGACTTTTAGATCTCCCATCCATTAGCACATAAACACCCTTGAAATCTTCCCGGGCTAACTTCACCTAATTAATTACCCACAATTTGGGCACTGAGAGACAGATGTCAGTTTTACCTACCAAGATAAGAGTAGAGATACCATAGTATATACTGATATACTTGGTATAGAGTATATAAAGCCTTTCTAGCATCAGGAGGTAGGAAGAAAAAATGGCCTCTAAGATATGAAGAGGAAGACGATAAGGGAAAGACTTCCAAGCACACTGAATGACACTATAGCAATATCTTTCCACTATGTATACTGTAGATAACTATTTAGAGAGAAGAGCATGATATAGAGGGGAATGGGCTGAGCTTATGTTTGATCTCAGGTTCCGCCACTTAGCAAGTGGTGTAAGTATGGGAAAATTGCTTTAACATGCTGAGCCTCGTGAGGATGACAATTGCTGTACCACTCACTTTACAGGTTTTAAGGGAGAAATTCGAGTGATTATTACTGAATTCCTACCCTAAAGTCTGTCTCTGGGCTCCCCTCCTGCCCACCAGCTGGCGTTGAGAGGACTCAGCCATACATATTCTGTGGGATTTTGAATTGGACTGTTAAATCTCTGAAAAACCATCTTTGTCTATCCAAACCCCATTCTGCTTCATAGGGAGGGAGAGAGCCTCTTTCTACCTCGAATGGTTCCTTTAGCTCCAGAGGGAAGACGTTGTAAACTTCCTCTTCACCCCAACGACTGCCCTGGAAGGAGTTGAAGATCAAGGTGCCATTGGAGAATCGAGGTTTGAAGTGGAAAGCGATTTCACCTGACTCAGAGAGGAAGTTTATTTCAAACCTATAAGAAACGAAAGAAACTACAGAGTGGCAGGCATTTGACCCCATTATCCTTCCCCACTCCCTTAATCCCTTAGACCCTTTTAGACCCCATAATTGGTTCAGTCCTGAGGCATAACTGATGTCCTCCCAAAGACACCCCCAATCTGCAATGGCAGGACTTGGCCCCCAGCCATTGTCTTCCGTTTTCTATTGGGCGTTCTCTGAGAGGTGGAAGAGAAAGGCATGAGGAAAGAAGTTTCTCTTACTCATCATCTTTGGAGTTGGACTGACCCTGGACGATCAGACTCCAGCCTGGGACCAGGCCCCCTGAGCAAAAGGCTTCAAACTGTGAATGGAAAGAGAGTGGGGGGTAGAGACAGGGGTCCTCCTTTTCATCCTCCAATCACTCCATCAACAATCAATAAGCATCTACAAGTGATTATGATATACCAGTAATAAGTATCTGATGGGAAAGAAGGACAAAAACAGCTTTGGCCCTTTAGAAGCTTACATTCTGATGGAGCAGACAACACACATAGAGTAGATGTAAAGTAACCTTATTGAAGAAAGCTCAAACAGCTGGGGCAAGTGGCAAAGACCTCCATTCATTCATGCATTCAACAAACATTTTTAAAGGGCACACCATTTGCTAGGCGTTTGATATATGACAAACATCTCACATTCTCCCTATACTATACTATACTTATGTGGATAGGTGTGTGTACCTGCTTCCACTAAAGTCCTCTTCCAATTACTGGCCATGGCATGGAAGTGACCCAGGTTGTTGAAGGTTCCACCAGTGGAGGACAAATTCTAGCTCGTACTACAAAGATAGAAAGGCTTTGCTTATGGACCTGGTCAATGTTGTGGTTTGTTTTTCTCTTTCATTCCCTGAGAGGACCATGACATCGAGAAGGAGATGTCAGGACTTGCAAATGAATTGGATTTAAGTGAGGGAGGGCTGTGCAAAGTCACCAGCTTCACTCTCTCCTCTGGAGCCATCTGGGTACGGTGGCAAGATATAGATCAAGACTGTCTGGAGATGGCCCTGGATGAGCTTGTCAATGGACTCTCATTGAAAGACTAGCCTAATAAAGGATGAAAAGACTCATCACCAAAAGACTGGCCACCAAGTCATGACTTTTTCCCCAAAAGGATCTTAGATCTATGTTTTGATAATCCTATGAAAATGAAGTCAGGTGTTTCCCAGCTTTGTCTCTTACTTTCTTTACAACCCTACTCCTCTCCAGGCCTCAGTTTCCTCATCTGTAGATATAGGTATAATGATACTTAACCTACCTCACAGAGTTGTTACAGATGATTTTTAAAGTGAATTTATTATTTAAATGTATCATTTCATATTTAAATTTTAATTTCTAAAGTAAATTCATTATAATTATAAATAATAAATTTAATTTTCATTAATTATTAATTTAATACTTAATTTAATATTGAACATTTAATAATAAATTTAATGAAATAATTTAACTTAATAAATGATATTTAATATTATTTAAATAAATATTATTTGTTGAATAACAATATCAGGCTTTACAAGTTTAAAGAGCCTTCACTGCTAATCTCCCTTTTGATTCTGTTCCCAAGCCCCAGGTATTGGAATAGACTGGGAAAAAACACTGACCCTTAGGCAGACCTGGATTCACTTAACCTTTGAGCCTTCACATCCTCATTTGTCTCATTTGTGTGAATCAAGGATACTAATACACCTGTCACCAACATTACACACCAGTAATGATGGAAACGACAGGAAAGCTTTAAATCAAAGTAAGGAGGTATTATGGATGTGCTTCCTAAAAGATAAAATGGCTCTACAAGTATCAATCAGTTGCCAAGTTGCCTTGGCAAGCCATGGAATTTGTCTGAGCCTGAGAAAGCTCGTTTAAAACCTTAAGTCATACACTGGTTTCGATCTAAATGAGTGGATCGCCTAGGAAGTCACATTATTATTGCTGTGACCCATTTTCAGGTTCTCCCTCTCACCCAACATACGCTTGCAAACAGCTTCACAGACCCGCAGACACGCACACAAGCCACGCGCACAAGACCTTTCCCAGGAGATCACCTCCACCCCGCCCTCCTCCGCCCCCCAGATCTCCCTTTCTTCACCCCCTGCTGCCTCTTCCCCGCTCTAATGACTCGGGGGGGGGTGGGGCAGGCCGGAGGGGGCAGGGGCGGGGGCGGCCAAACGGCCGGGCCCCTGGTCCGGCGCGGAGGGCAGCGGGACATATGCCCGCGAATTCTAGCGTGGGCCTGCGAATTGCGAGCCCGGGCCTAGCCTCGGGTTCTCACGCGGCTGGGGGTCGGGGGTGGGAGTGAGGGCGGCCCAGGCAGAGCAGCTGCCGGAGCCGAGACCAAGACGGCTCCCAACTCGCTGAGTCTGGCCACGGTCCCGGGGTCAAAGGAGGCGGCGCCCAGGCCTCCCTCCTCCCTGTCCCCTTCGCCGAGGGGTGAAGGTCCGAGCGGACGCCCAGACGCCCGAGCCGCTGGCCAGGCCCGTCTCCTTCGCTCCTGGCTGCAGCCTCGGCCCCCTCGCCAGAGCCTCGGTTCCCACGCTCCGGCTCAGACCGCAGCCCGGGGCAAGGACCAAATGCTGCCCCGCCCGCCTTTCCCAGCTGCCCCTCCCCCTCCCCCGAGGCGGCTGGGGCCACCAGGCACGCGAGCTGCTAAACGCAGCCCAAAAGGCAGCTTTCGCGCCGCGACATTTGGTCCCCCCTCTAGCATAGGGACCCACACATGCTGGCGGTCAGTGAGACCTGAGAGCTGGGAGGGCTCTTGGCGTTGTTCCCACCTCCCTCGTTTGACAGAAGGCAGACAACAGCTCGCATTTAGAAATCATTTGATCCTCACACACAACTTCCATGTCGTAGGTAGGGCAACTAATTTCCACTTTACTGATACACTGAGGTTCAGAGAGAAGTGAGTGGCTCAAGGTCACAGAAGGGGTAAGGGAAAGAGTTTTCGAAGCGGTCTTCAAATCCAGCGCTTTTAGAGACACCACATTGCCTCTCTGCAAATACTGGCGCGCGCGCACACACACACACACACACACACACACACAATAGCTCAGGTCCTAACGGGGAGTGGGGAGGTGGAGGGATCACCTTGTAGTTAAAGTTATTTAATTCTCAGGAGTCTGGGGGCCCGGCCCTCACCTGCACAGGCATCTTCCCAGTGGTCCCAGTTCCCAGTAAAAGAGATTGGGAGGTGCCTGGCTGCTGATATAGGCAGCCTACAGCGATGGGAGGAGGACCCAGAGGGGACCCACCCTCACGGGAATGCCTGAGCCCGCCTTGCTTTCCCCATCCAATTCCCAGGCCAATTCTACTTTACGAAATGCTGCCTCAGATGCTTCCCCAACAAGGCTATCTATCAGTGCCACAGAGAAAAAAGGTAGGTGTTTGAGGAATGGAGATGATTCCTAAAGGTTTCAACTCATCATCAGCCGTCTCCCCCGCCCCCGCCCTTACGTTCTAGGGGCCCAAGAGAGACAATGATGAATAAGACCTAGTCTCTACCTTACATTTTAGAAGTGTAGAGGACGTACATACAAATAACCACAAAAATCTCTCCTCCCTGCCCTACTCTTCAATTTTAAATTCTTTTATTCGGAATATAGTTAGGATGCCGGCCCCCAGTGTCGGTAACAAAGCAAAGAGTCCAGGCCTCCCAAAATGACATATTTAATGAGGCAAACCCTGGAGCTCCAAATTCTTATGCAAATATTAAATATGAGCATCCTGACCCCCTTCTTCCTCTCCCCCTGCCCCTTCCCAGGGCCTGGTCGATTCCAGCTTGGGCCACATTTCCAACTGCCCGCTCCAGCCAGTTCTGATCAGTTGTGTGTTACAAAGCCTGGATTGTTGACAGCGGATTAGGGATTAAAGTGCCGCAGCCGCTCCTGCTGCTGTCAGCACATTCCTGGGCCTGGGCTCTCTCTCTGGCTCTGCCTCCATGGGCTCCAGTGGGGGTGGTCAGCCTTTTCCCACAGCCCTGAAGCACAGAGGCCCCGAGAGCACAATCTCTGCCACCTCCTTACCTCCAAAACCATATACATCAGTTACCCAGACTTGGGTTGGGATGGGAGAGAGCTAGAGTTTGCAGTACTTTGCAAGTATGGTGTAATGTGATGGGGAAAAAACAAACAAACAAGGAACCAGAAGACCTGAGTTCTGCCACTTGTTAGCTGTGAGAACTTTAGCAAATGAATCTTTGGGTGTGAATCCTGCCTTTGGCACTTAGCATCTGTTTGATTGCGGGAGGGGGAGGTCACAACTTCTCTGAATCTCAGTTTGCTCATTTGTAAAATGGTGATATTCCCCTCCAAGCTGCACTCTTGACTCTCTAGACTTCTTCCACTCTGGCTGCCTGGGGGGCTGGGGGGAGATACATCACCCTTCTACCTCCTTACATGCTTTTTCAGCTTCCTTTTATGTGTTGTCTTCCTATATTAGAACATAAACTCCTTGAGGGCAGGGACTATCTTTCTGCTTATATTTGTATTCCCAGCACTTATTGGCACTATGCCTGGCTGTTAATAAGCTTGTTGACTTGACTTAACTCATTTGTAAAATTTGGTGTTGGAATAGATAACCATAGAAGCACAGACCTAGAAGCAAAAGAGACCCAAGAGGCCTTGTAGTCCAACCCCATCATTTTACAGATAAGGAAATTGAGGCTGGGGAGAAGTTATCTGAGTTATCCAAGGTCACAGAAGAAGTAGGCATCAGATTTGTTGTAGTTCAGCCATTTCAGTCGTGTCTGACTCTTCATGACACCCCCCCCCCCCGTTTGGGGTTTTCTTGGCAAAGATACTGGAATACTTTGCCATTTCCTTCTTGAGCTCGTTTTACAGATGAGGAAACTCTGGCAAACAGGGTGAAATGACTTGCCCAGGATCATACCACTAGTAAGTGACTGAGGCCAGACTTGAATTCAGGAAGACGAATCTTCCCGAGTCCAGGTCCAGCACTCTATCCACTTGTAAGCAGGATTTAAACTCTCATTCTCTGCCAGGGCTCTTTTTACTATATCAAGATGCTTTAAGGTTTGCCAAGCATTTTACATGCATCATCTCCTTTCAGCCTCAAAATAACCCTATAAGACAGATTATTGATGTATTCCCATCTCCATTTCACATATGATTAAAGTGAAGCTCAGAAAAGTTAATGGACTGACTTATTCTTGGTCACAGTGTTTGTGAGCGTCAGAGACTGGATTTGAACACATTTCTCTCCTGGCTCAAAGTCCAGTGCTATTTACACTACACCACCATTGCGTTTCTTTCTAGGATAATTTAGATACTCTAAGGTCTCTTCCAGGTCTGTCTAGCATCCTATGATTTTGTGGTCACCATGAGTAAGTAACTAGTGGGTGGAGATGGATGAGAGTAGCTGGTGGCATTGAGGAAAATCCTGGGAAAAGTATTTTCTCTGAAGGCGGGGGGGGGGGGGGGGGGGAGTGGGGTGGCTGGAGGGAAGCTCTTGGCCATCAGCCATGTCTTTTGGGCTGATGACCAAGTTCACAGGGAGGAGGGAGCTGGGATAATTTGGGGGAAGGCTCTTTGGTTCCCTGAGATGATATGAGCTCATAATAACCACTTCGGTTGGCTTGTTTATGGGATCAAGTCCAAACCCCTTCACAATATGTCCCTACCATCATTCCTTTACAATATGTCCCTACTCTTGTTATTCAACTTTGCCTCCCACTTTTCCCTAATGTGAGCCCTCAGCTATAATCAGACCAGGCTCTCTTTATTGCCTCCTAATCATGTAATACTCATTCCTGCCTTTGCATTTTTTTGTGTTCTTGGATTGCCTTCTCATTCTTTCCTGCCTTTCCATACACTACCCTTTTTTATGTCCTTGCCTAGATCTCACCTGCTCTGTGAAGCATTCTCCGAGTATTTCTGTCCATGATTTATTTTTCCCTTTCCTGACCACCTGTAGTATTTTCTCTTTCTTTTCCCTTGGTGATCTCATTGATTCCCATAACTTTGACTATTGCCTCGATATAAATTGCTCCAAAGCTGTTTTTCCAGCCCTAACTCTAGTCCCACGTTTCCATCTGCCTTCAGGATATCTCTCCCTGAAGGTCATAACAGCACCTCAAATTGAATATGTCCAAAGGGGAACTTATCTTTTAAAAATATTTTTTGATGCCCTTTTTAACATTGCTATAATTTCCCAATGATTCTTCCTATTCCCAATAGAATCTTCTCTTGTAACTAAGTAGGGTTAAGCAGACAACAAACAAAAAATCCCAACTGAAAAAAAAAACCCACATTGACTATGTCTGACAATCTATATTTCATTCTGCACCTTTAGTCCACTATCTTTCTGTGGGAGGTACTACTAGTCCTCTGAAGACATGACTGGTCATTACATTGATCAGATACATGAAATCTTTCAAAGTGGTAGAAATTATTATCCTTTTCTTCCCCCTCTACCCCAACTATCTGTTCTTCAAGATTGATTTAGCTATTTATGGTAATGAGACTACCATTTTTTGTAGTCAGCCATGCTAGAATCTTCAATGCCACTTTGACCTCTCCCTCTCCTTCTGTTCTACTCTCCCTCTCCCTCCAGCAACTAGTGGCCAAATTCAATTGATTCTATCTCTGCAATATATTTGGTGGGCATTTCTACTATCCTAGTTCAAGCTCGCATCACCTCTTCTTAGACTATTATAATAACCTTAACTAATGACCTGCTCCAGTCTCTTCCTCCTCCAATCTATCCACATCTTTGCCAAAGTTATCTTCTTAAACCACAGGTCTGACCATTCACTGCCCTGCACAAAAAACTCTAATGGCTCCATTGCCTACCCAGAAAAATTCATACTCCTTATCGTGACATTCAAGGCCCTTCCCCAATTCGGTTCCAAGTTGCTTTTCCAGTTTTATCTGTTGTATGACCTCAAGACCTGGAAAACAACAGCCTCTGAAGAGCTGAAAATGAATATTAGACAGAGGGCAATGGAGAGTTTCCTGGATGGTGTGAGCAGGGTGCCCCATAAAACCAGTGAGGAACTTTGAAGAACAAGAGTAAAAGATATCAGTGAAACATATTCGAGGAAAATTATATAGGCTTGTCATTCGGGGAGGATGAGGGGCCAGGGATGAGGGGTAGAGGGGTCAAGTGCTCCAACTGGTATCCTTTCCACGTCAGGAGAAAATGAGGAAAGCATGTTATTGAACCCGTTGTGGCCACCATTTGGGAGAATGATAAAAAGAGTAATATACAAGGCTCATGAACGGATGAGCTATAGTTTGCATCTTTGGTGGGAACATCCAAATTGATGAGATTACAGAGCATTTGAATATCTTACAGTACCACAGACTCTTCCCCATGCCCCTAAATGTCTCTTCAGTTTCTTTTCTCTGAATCTCTACTTCTGTTATTCCCTATATCTGCAGTGCTGTCCCCCATCTTTTATTGAAATCTTATGCATTGCTTTGTGGACGAGGCAAAATACCTGATGGATGGTTTTTCCATCATCTGGAATTTCTTAATCCTTCATTCAGTCCCATAATGTACTTGCATTTGTATTTTAGTTAATTGTGTATTTGTCTTCCTTTAGATCAAGGGTTCTTAATCTGGGGTTTGTGAACTTGTAAACATATTTTGATAGCTATATTTCAATATAGTTGGATTCCTTTGTAATCCTATGTGTTTTATACATTAAAAACATTTTTTATGAAAAGAAGTTCTTCACCAGGCAGCCAAAGCGATTGATGACAAATAAAAAAGATGAAGAACCATGGTTTTAGAATCAGGGGTGGGGAACCTGCAGCCTCAGGTGTGGCCCTTTGAGTGAACCCAAACTACAAGTTCAGTCAAAGGGCTGCACTTGAGGACCTAGAGGCCACATGTGGCCTCGAAGCTACAGGTTCCCCACCCCTGTGTTGGACTGTAAACCCCTCAAGGGCCCAGGAACATTATTCAATTTATTTGTGTACCCTTGAATAACCTGAACATAAGAGGAAATAAAATTTTTGTTGAATGAATGAACCATTCATTTTCAATACTTGATTTGTAAACATTGACCGTATTGTGAACCTTTCTCTTTCCAAAGCATTTTTTCTTACAACGATACTGTCTACTATGTAGCACATTTGTCATCATTACTTTTTGACTTCTGTAATTTCATTTGGATATGATTCCAAATTCAGT